AGCTACAAGTAAAACCTGTAACAGCTTTCTGCTTCTGCATCTTCTTCTTATTCTTCTCCTTCTTGTTCTCATTTGCTTTTTACAACATGCAGGAATTGGAAGCCTAAAGCATGGACCTCAACTTCATCAAATTGCAGGAAGTATCAAACTGGTATTACTCCATATATTTTCGATATTATAGTTCTTCGCGACTCGCGAGGATCCTGTAGGCATCTTAATAGACATGTATTCATAGTACAAGTATAATTCACGAGAAGCGCTTCCGGGAAAAGATGTGTTGAGTTACTAGCCTTCCATCTCTTAATTTTCATCTTTCAAAACAGGTAACCACAGAGAAGATTTATAATGAGAGAGCTATCAGTGAAAGGATGGATGTGGAGCTAAATGACTACCCGGGATCAGGCGCCAACAACCGCCACACCCCGAAGCCGTAGTCTGGAAGATGCACTGGTTGCTAGTATTCTGCTGGAACTATGGGTTTTAAGGTTTACAATGTACTGTTATGTATGGAATTATTGGAAAAGAGATTTTTGTTTCTATATCAGTCATTTAAGTTTATTAATGTTAGGGTTTAGACGGAGTAGGAATGTAGGAACTAGTCGCGTTAGGTGAAATGAAATCATGGATTAATGCAAATATATATGTACAATGATTATGAAGAGTATTAACTTGATCAAGCAGAATGAATGTATGAGCTTTTGAGCTGTTGATAATCTCGTTAACTATGTGTTTAAACTTTTGATTTTCGTTAACTCGTAAAATTGAGCAGATTATTTCACAGCTTAGCGAGAAATCTTGTGAAAATTTTGATAATTTGGAGTCTGGACACCTCGTGTTATAAGAGACAAGATTATATCTGAGTTGAAATTTTCACGGCCATTTGATGCTCCATAGGCTATACTGCAGAGGGTGAAATTTTTAGGGCAAAACTCCAAGATTAGAAACACATATTTGAATTCGCAAATATAATTCTAGTTTGTATATGAAAAACTTCTTAAATCTTAATCATCACTAAGAAGAAGTTGTTAGAAAGCTTTTCATTCTTCTAGTGTTGAGCAATACTGTATTCTCATGAAAGAAAATTAAAACACATAAAAAGTATTTAATTAACTTGAAATGCTGTCACAGTCACAATAAAGAAAGATATATCTTAAACTTCTAAATAGTTGATATCAAAGTAAAATTCTTTAAGCAAAAGGCTTACCCAAAAGAAAAATATTCAAAGGTCCATCCATAAAAGTAAAAAAAGGCCGAATAGAGAAAACACAATGATAGAATTTTTACCACATGTAAAAGTAGGAATAAAAATACTTAAAAATACTTGCAAGAGTACAAGGTTATCGTAGTATAGCAGCTCAAGTAAGGTTGTTTTCCACATGAATTGAATGAATAATTTATGTTAAAACCAAATCTTAAATAATTATTTGAAAACAAAGTTTGGAAGAGGTTGATTTAATTGCCTAAAATATTAAAAACGAATTTAATTAGAAACAATTAAATAAATTGGGAAAGTAAAGAAAACAAAAGAAAATAGTTTTGAAAATCTATATAAGCACTAGGGCTCCGCTGTCACCTTAACAATAATACGTAGTTCTTCCAATTACTTATGACTTACACATGCATAATTGAATGTTAGGTTTTCCTAATATATATCCTACTTGGAACCTCCAATATAGAACGTATATCTAACATGCAACCCGTCCTTGGCGTTCATATCAAATGTGAACATGTAAAACTTATTAAGTTTTGTGAAAACCTTTTGAAAAACCATGTAACCCTTGAGACATGTCGTCCATTCTAAGAAGTTACACATATTAACCACAAGAAGTCTTAGTCAATTCCATGTGGACAATGATTAGGCATCACGTGTCATTAAAGATCCACGTGAAAATTCAAAATTCAAAAAAAAAAATTCCTCTCTCCCTCTCCACCGTCTTCAAGCCCAGCAAAGGGTTCCTTCTTTGATTTCTGCAGCATGGCAACAGATCAAGGATTTCCTTCACACACAAAAAAAAAAAAAAAAAAAAAAAAAAAAAAAAAAAAACACTAAGATGACAATGCTCGAGGTCAGTTTATCCCATTTCTGCTTTCCTTGATATTTCTTTCTCTCGCCTGAATTTCTTTCTCGGTGCGTGTTTAAGGTTCGCATATGTTAGTCATACATTGCTACGACTATGGTGTCTTTGCAATTTTTTCTCCGAATTTCTGCTGGAAAATGCCTTTTGTTGTTTTTCTTTTTTTTTCTTTGCGTAGAAATTTGAGGTAACGTGACGTAGGTTTTGTTTGGGAATGCTTCTGTAGGAAGCACTTATGCTAGAAATGCTTGTAGTATTATAAACAAGTAGAAATTTTTATAAAAAAACTCCAAGTGGAAGCACTTCTACAACCCATAAGAACTATAATGTTTTTGTTCCAAACGCATTAAGGTAATCAGAAGCACTTTTAGTTGTCTAAACATAAGCAAATCCCAAATGGGCCCTAAGAAATTTTGGGCTTTTTTGCAAGATTATGCTTTGCCAACAACTGACTGAGATTTTTAGTGTGGATAGCAGATGGCAAGAACAGGCATAAGATTGGGGTGACTATGTTTGGCTTTTTTGCTATAAACAAATTGGCGTGATTAATCTCTGATTTGCTATAAACAAGTTGGCGTGACTTGTTTGATCTGCATTTATATGTTGTCAGGAAAACATGAAGCTCATCCAACTTGTTTCTGAAGTCAAGGATGTACAGGTTGTAACTTTATCAATCTGAATTGGCTAATCTAATTGGTTTTTGATGATTCATTTCGTCTAATTTACCTTGATATGTTCTGAATGTGTTCACAGAATACTGAGAACCTGCTCAAACTTTTGGAAGACGGCACGTATCCTTTGTGATATATTTGATCATTTATGTTTTTGTTCACCCATCACTTTGGCATTTTCGGGATTTTTCTCAATTCACTTTTGCAAGTAAATGTGTGGGAAACCTTGTAGAGTTGGAAAGAATCAAAGAGGGGAACAAGGTGCTCGTTAGGGACAGGGTAAGTAAGTTCAAACGATGAAGTCCTTCGCTTTCTAATTCCTACGTTTAAATGGTGTCATTTAGCATGAATTAACCAATTCTGTACGCATGATTAGAATTGTACATCTGTTCATTGACAGGATGTGGAGCGGAGCGTTGGTGAGAAAAGCCGGAAATTCAAAAGAAGGATATGAGAGTGGAAGCCTGCATCTCTAAACCAGGTAATTAACTTGACACATCACGCGTCTGAGATTTTTGCGTCTCCTTCTGTACGAACATTTACTTTGACATTTGGTAAATGCGTGCAGCTTTGCAGCCTGGTGCTGATGAATTAGCCCGAGCTAAAGCGGAGGCATGCAAGAAGATACTTCCCTGCCCTCGCTGCGAAAGCTTGAACACAAGATTTGAACAGTTCAAATATTCCAATCTACGTAAAGAAAAACGTCTGTGCAGAGAGTTAAGGGGTGGCGTTAACAACTCTCTTAAGCTAGGGTTAGTGCCTCTCTGAAGTTCCCCATACTGTTTTTGTAAAAGGAGTAGGACTCCAGGAATAGATGGCATGATAAGGTGCTGCAGATCTTACTAGTGAGGAAAGCTTTTGATTGCGGAGGAGATTTGAATGATATGTTATGGTTGACAATTTTATTATGATTGTGAAGGAGGTGTAATTTCAGAGCAATCAGATAATGGTTCGCGAGAAAATTAAAATATATGAACCGTGTGATTGATTTAAATTTAAAATATTACCAAAAGTAAAACTTTTAATGAAAGTATTGCTTTCCAAGGAAAAATGATTTATTCATTAGAGAAGGGGAGTCAAACCGAAAAGTGTTGAGAAATTCTATGGCCAATCTATTAGAGAGAAATATTCTATGCAACACGTCTTGTTTTTTGAATAGAGGAAATATTGAGAAAGCGCCACTTCTACTAAATTTCTTTCAACTTTGATTTGATTTATGCACAACATCTCTTGCACAGAGTTGAATTAAAAATTGAAATATATTTTTTTGAGTGAACTAAAGAAAACCCAAAGTCGAAGCATTAATGCTAGGTACACCAAATTTTTAAATCAAATTTGCAAATCAAATGATGTATTATTAATAAAAAAATAAGCACGTTAATCAACACTTAAGTTATAATCAAATTATCAACAATCACATCATTTACACTATGTTTGGATGAAAAAATTTAAGATAACTAAGGAATTTTAAAATGACGGGATTTTATTTTCTAGAAATTGTGAATTTTCTTGTTTGGTTAACCTAAAACCAGAATGGAATTAAATATGAAATTTCTTATTTTTAAACTCTCAATAATAGAAATTGGGAAATGACATCTATTTACATGAAATTTAAACTTGGCAGTTGAAGGCCCCAAATTCAAAAAAATATTTTCACCCAAAAATTTTAAATTTCTATGTTTATGAATCCAAATAAGGGAATTGGTGCAGTCAATTTATAAATTCTGACTTTTATCCAAATTTTAAGTTTATTTCCCTCATCTAAACATATTGTTAGTTTACAAAATTTAGTCTTCTTAACATTACCTATTTGTGAATATTAGTTCCTAAACTTGTAACACTGCCCACCGGAGAATGGGGGAGCAATTATCTTTTTTCGATAATGTTGTTATAGCTTTCGTAAAAAAATACATTAAATGAGTAAATAAGAACGAATTGTTGTAGCCTATTTTATCTGACAAGGGAAATGGGGGCTTGCGACAAGGAGAGATTGAGAGAGATATATGTTTGTAGAATTATATAGAGAAATGTGTGTGTTATTCCCTCCTATGTAGTGTCTTTATTTATAATAATAAGAAAGAGAAGAAATTCTTCATTCCCAAGGAACTAGAATCAAATCTAATCTAGAATTTACACAAAGTTCCTGCCACGAATACTATTATTATAACAAAAAAACCAAAAAAAAAAAAAAAAAAAAAAACACTCTGACCAAAGAAACAAAATACCAACTAACAATTTTGCTTCAAGTCGCGAACTTTTTCTCCCCTCGTTTTCTAATTTCTAAAAACTCAGACCAGTAAGAACCAGCTACAGAGAGAAAGAGCTAGAGAGAGAGAGAGAGAGAGATGGTTCGTATGAGGTTACCGGGAGGGACAAAGAGAGAGACAACTAGTCGTGGGGAAGAAATTGGCGACCAAGTTGATTTACTCGGCTTACAAGGTGAAAGTGGTCAAGGTCAATTTCTCCCATTTCTCCTTTTCTTTCTGTTTCAACTTTCATGGTTTAGGGTTCACATATGAAACTCATTCGTTGCTACAACTATGATTTCTTTGCACCTTTTCCGAATTTCAGCTGGAAAATGTTTTTTCTCATCTTTTCATGCAAAAATTTTATAGGAGTTTGAGTAACCGTTTTTAAGTTTTTCTTCCAAATATAGTCAGAAGCGCTTTTGGTCTATAGAAAGTACTTTTAGCTCTACCAGGAAGAAATCCTAAAAGACTGGCCTTTGGAAATTTTCAGCTTTTTGTAAGATGACGTAGTTAGAAGCGTTTTTTAGTTGACAGAAAACACTTTTAGTTCTTCAAGACACAAATCCCGCACGGCCCTGAACTTTTTGTACGATTATGCTTTGCCGAAAAAGGACTGAGATTTTTAGTGTCGATAGCAGATGAGAAGGAAAAGTGTAAGATTGGGGATCAAACTGATGGCTTCGCTACAGTCTCGGTTCAAAGTTTCCATGAGGTACAATCTTGCCTCGTAATTTAATCTCTGATTTGGCCTTAAGAAGTATGTTGGTGTGACTTGTTTGATCTGAACGTATATCTTGTCAGGAAAACATGAAGCTCATCCAACTTGTTTCCGAAACCAAAAATGCAAAGGTTGTCGCTTTATCAATCTGATTTGGATGTTCTAATTGGATTTTGATGATTTATTTGGTTTGATTTCTGTTTCATGTTATTATATTCTGAATGTGTGTACAGAACACCGAGATCTTGCTTAAACTTTTGGAAGACAGGACGTATCCTTTCACTTCGTGATCTGTTTGATTGTTCGTTCATTTGTTTTCGTTTGTTACTTTTACCTTTTGGGTTTCCTAATTCACTTTTGCAAGTAAATGTGTGGAAAACCTTGTGGAGTTGGAAAAAATCAGAGAGGCGAACAAGGCGCTTGGTAAGGAGGACGACAGGGTAAGTTCCAACTAATGAAGTCGCAACACAGTGATGATTTAACATGGATTAACCGGTTTGTGTATGTTTGCGTATGGCAAGATTATTAAACTGGACGTTGTTTGACATGTGCATCTGTTCATTTACACAGGATGTGAAGGATAAGAAGCCGGAAATTCAGAAGCGGGATGCAAAGAGGAAGAGGCCTGCTGAGAAGAAGCAAGAACTTCAGAAGAAGGATGGCAAAGAGGAAGCTTCCTCGTCCAGACCTGGTAATTGACTTGACATCTCGCGTGTTTTGAGATTTTGAAGTTTCTGTACTACTGCACCCGCATTCTTTTTGACGTTTGGTAAATTCCTGCAGCTTTGCAGCCTCGTGGTGATGAAATAGTCCGAGCTACAGAGAAGGCACAGAAGAAGATACTCCCCTGCCCTCGTTGTGATAGCAGGAACACAATATTTGACAAGTTCAGTCGTAACAATATCAGTAAGCCAGTACGTTTATGCAAAGATTGCAAAAGAAGCTGGGTTGTACGCGGGAACTTGGGAAGAGGCTAGTGTTTACAGCTCCGTAAAGCTAGGGTTAGTGCCTCTGTAAGTTTCCGTTCTGATTTTGTAAATGGCGTAAGACTCCAAGTGTAGATGGCACTAGGTATAATTTTGTTAAGTGCCAACATATATATGTATGTATCCATGAGGAGGTGTGCAGATCTTACAAAGTATGTATAAATTATGTTTTATGGTTGACAATTATATGTGAGTCGAAAGTTCATGGCGGATCAATGCTAAATATGTATAACTTCGTAGGCAAAATCACGAAAGTTTAGAAATGTATATATTCAAGTTCACAGAAACTGAATTTCTTGATGAGCTCCTTGGCAATAAGCTCGTTTGCGCTATCTGGTGATGAAGCAATGGCAGGTGCAGGGAAAGGGCCGTTTGTTTCATCAATGCGCGAGAAACCGAATTTCTTGATGATCTCCTTGGCAATAAGCTCGTTTGCGCTATCTGATGGATGGTACTCGTCCCAAAACACATATTTGCTTCTGCCTTTGCACAGTACTGGTGAAGGGAAGAACGTCAAAGCCAGCCGAATCCTTCCAAATGACGAGCTCTGTGAATCTGCGTTGCTGAATCCTGCCATGACGAACCATCTCTCCCTCTCTCTCTCTGAACTTTCTGAAGGATATCCTAGTGTCTGCGACAAGGCATAGACAATCCCGCTGCCTCCCTCGGAAAGTTACACGGTGACAAGAAGTGTCAACTTCCGACCATTCATTTCTTTTCAAATCAAAATCAAAGACTCTGGATTCCTCACGCTTGTCATGGAACATCGAAAACCAAATAACCTCATAACAACGGCATAACCAATTATCGACAGAAAAGAATGGAAACGGCTTTTCCTTGTATCAGGATCGCGCGTTTGAGATTTTGGCATCTCCGTACTACTGCACCCACATTCTTTTTGACTTACGGTAAATTCTACAGCTTTTCAGCCTAGTGGCGATGAAAAAGCCCGAGCTAGAGAGGCGGCACACAAGAAAATACTCCCCTGCCCTCGCTGTGCACGATAGCATGAACACAAGATTTGGCGAGTTCAGCCGTAACAATCTCAGTAAACCAGTACATGTATGCAAAGATTGTAAAAGAAGCCGGGTTGTACGCGGGAACTTGAGAAGGGGCTCGTGTTAGCAACTCCGTAAAGGTAGGGTTTGTGCCTCTGTAAGGTTCCAAATTGATTTCGTAAATGGAGTAGGACTCCAGGAGTAGATGGCACTAGGTGTCATTAGTGCCAACGTATATATGTATCCGTAAGGAGGTGGTGCAGGTCTTACTAGTGAGTGAGGACAGTTCTTGATTGTTCATGAGTATATTACGGTTGTCAATTATATGTGAGTCGAAAGTTCATGAAGGATTGATGCTCAATATGTTTAACTTCATACGCAAAATCATGAATAATCAGAAACATATATATTCGAGCTTATAAAACCAAACCATAGTTGTATATGAAAAGCTGTTACTGATTACTAAGAAGTTGCTTTTTAGGAAAGCAATTTGAGCAGCAGACACTGCTGGTTTTATTGTACTAGTATTTATCCCTCTGGTGATGGAGCAAAAGCAGGTGCGGGGGAAGGGGCATCCGTTTCATCAACGCGCGACAAACCGAATTTCTTTATGAGTTCGTTGGCAATAAGCTCGTTTGCACTGTCTGATGGATGGTACTCGTCCCAAAACACGTATTTGCTTCTGTCACTGCACAGTATTGATGCAGGGACACACGTCAAAGCCGGTCGAATTCTTCCAAATGAGCAGCACGGTGAATCCGCATTGCTGAATCCTGCCATGGTCGGAATTCGAATACAGAAAAGGTCAGTAGAGAAACGAGGAGATATGTTACATGTTCTCTGTTCTAACATACCGTAATCGTTTGGATTACTGATCACATCGTTGACGACATCATAAGCATCACCAAATCGATAGCTTGCGTTAGGAAGCTTGCTGGACAAGTCTTCCATTAGCTTGCTTCCAGCTTTGTTGAAGCTGAGAGCTAGTTTGTTTGACCTTTCTTGGCAACCGTAAGTGGTAGTTAGCACCCTTTGGAGCGGAATACAACCCATTGGTCCTAGCCCAAACACTATCAGCTGCCTCGCCCCTAGGCCGTGCAACAGCTGCTCGAAAGCACGTAAAACCCTAGTCAGGAAACTACGTATTACGATTGACTGGTAGAAATTGATAAAAATAAAGAAATAAAAACTGATATTCTAACATTAAGTTGTCTTTCTAGAGTTCCCATTAGGTATTCGATGAAAGTTTGATCGTTGTAACTCCACGAATCTCTGTAAACAGGCATCAAGTAGTTGTTAATGAAGTCGTTGCTTCCTAAAGCGACCACATAACGAGCGTCTTGGAAGAATTTCTCCGCTGCGTTTGCGCCAATTTTGTTTTTGATCAGTGTTTGTGTCCCTTGAAACAGATCGATCTGCTTGTAAAGCGAGAACCTCTGAATCTGCAAACACATTACTGATCAAATCACGCACAATCTTAATTAAAAGCTCAATCTTCATGTGGTTTTGTTACATCTAAGGTTGCAACTTACAAAGTAGCCGCCGGTTTCATTCAAAATCCCTCCACCTCCAGAGGCATAGTTTACTCCTTTTTCAAGTATCATGTCATCGGTCAATGACGGATCAAGAAAGGCCGGCGGCCTTGGGAGCCCCATGTTATCACCTAAATAAACAAACAAGTTCAGCATAAAAATAAACTCGACGAAAAACTATATGTTTAAGAAAGACAAGACGTCCTGCACAGAGTCAAAACTGTTGCAACATATGTTACCTATTATATCAGCAACTGTACGGCCATTAGAGAACCTGCCATTGGGCAGTCCATTGCCCATATCAATGCCATACCAAGGCAGGCTTGCTTGGGCGAGACTCCTGCCCATTCGCTTGTTGTTTCCGACGTCGGAGAGGGAGTCCCCGAATATAAACTGCACGATTTTGCAGTCGTGGCCATCAATGAGGAGGCCGAAGAGAGTCACGGCCGCCATCATTGCTGCTAGAGCTGTGAACTTCATGGTTGAAAAACTCGAGAAAATGCAGATATTTTCAGGCCTTCCAATGTGAGATGGAAGACTTGGGTTTTGGATTAAACACAATGTGGGAGAATTTATAAGTAGGAGGCGTTATCTGTGATTAGATTTCGTGTGAAATTTGGGGAAGGACTAGAAACTGTATGATGGATTTGGGAAAAACAGAGAGGGTAGCTTAGCTAGCTTGTTGAAGAAACCAAATGTTATTCCGGACGTACCTAAATGCAACTAACCATGATTGTCTTTTGTTACAAGTTTACAAAGGTCCGTGCCCCAAAAGTCCCAATTACAGGAAAATAGTTCTCGCACTCTCTTTTTGTCTGCTTTTTTTTTTTTTTTCTTTCAATCTTTGTATTGAGTAAATCAAAGGAAAAGTATTATAGAAAAAATTAGAGAAGTGCAGAAGAAAATACGAGAGTGAAAATTGCTAGCCTTTCTACAAGCCTCAAACCCTAGTGTTGAATCCAAACAATTCAAGAAAATATATGAATCAAGATGATTTTATCTATTTAAACAAACGATATTATTTACACTAATTGGGGGAGTTGGCAACCAAGCCTCACAATGAGCTAGTAATAATGTGGTTCAAATTCACCTTTGGCAAGAATCAAAACTAAGACCTCTTACTTACAAGTGAAGAAGAATACCACTACACCGTAGTATTAAGTGGCAAGTCAAGATGATTTTGCATTTGTGAAAATGTTAGAAGGAAGTATGGGTTCACCTACCTACCAATGGGGCCTTCTCTTTCAACATGTTGGCAAACCATATATTCTCATTTTCTAAGTTTCTTCAAAGAAAAGAAATTCAGGAGGCTCACAATCTTTAATTCCTTATTTTCTCCCCTAATTCCCTTTTTAATTGACAAGATTTCTAACTTTGTACAAGTAACCCACCCAAATGGGTTTACCCTTGATTTTCCTTTTTACTCAAGACAATCACTACAACAAAAAAAATTATTAAAAAAAAATATCAGCTTTTACAATATTAATTTTTGATTAAGTATTGAATTAATGATGTTGGCTAGGGCTAGGCAAACAAGTCCTGGACCTATGGGTCGGGGCGGGTACGGGGTGGGTACATATATTGTAAATTCAAAACGGGATGGGGTGGGGCGGGTACACATTTTAGAGAAAACGGGCCCCCGGCGCGAACTGTTTCCACCGTTTATTTCTTAGGTTATGTAGAATTCTCCAGACTTCCAGACTCTCAGACCTCTCGACTTCTCCCTCACAATCTCTTTCTCCTGAACTTACACTCTGTCCCCGTCTCCGTCGATCGAGGTCCATCTTACCCACCACTTAACCACCATCTCCAGCGTCGATGGAGGTTTCTCCCACCCACCATCAGGACGAGTTCATTGATGTTAAGAATTTGAGGTCGATGAGCCCCTTGCTGTAATCTTGCTTCCAACTTTTAAGAACCCGGATTGGTTTTGATTTAGGTTTTCGGAGGGTTTTGGGCTTTTGTTTGGGGTTGTTTGGTTTTTGGTGGGGTTTTGGGGGAATTTTCTGATATGGGTTTTGGTTTGGGGGTATGTTTGATATGGGATTTGCTTGATTTTCTTATAGGATTTATGTGATTGTACAGATCCCCCACTCTCAGATTACCCAACTTTCTTTCTTCATTCTCGTTCTCTTCTCCTTTCCACCCCTCGACTGCGTCGACATCACAACAGCCACCAGGCCCACCAAACGAGTCACGACTCATGAAATCACCTCACCGTCGGAGAAGACAAAGATTGCGAAGCTCTAGATCGGAGAAGACGAAGATTGCGAAGCTCTGGATCAAAGAAGACGAAGATTGGACTTGTGGACCAGGCCCGAATCGACCTATTTGAAACGGGCTGGATTAGGTCCGATTCCAAAATTTGAAATCCCATTACTCGCCCTAACCCGCCCCATTGCATTTTCATACGTGTCCGGTCCAGTCCCTCCAAATTTGAGTCTGGTCTAGCACGTGCCTAGCCCTAATATTGTCATTTCATATATATTGGTTAACAAACATAATGGCATGTCTAATTATTATTACGATCCTACTTAGATGCTTTAGCCTTTAGAGAAACAAATTAAAGAAGATTTGCCAACTCCGAGAGAGAGACGTTGTCAACCCCGTTTTGCAGTGTGGCCTGCAGAATCCAGATAGTTAAAATTTGGAGAGGATCTTAACCCCACACAAAGGAGAAAATTTTAAGTTATTAACCTTTTAACACACATAACCCACTATTTATATAGAGACGTGGTATATCACCTCTTGTGACGATGACATTAAAAAATCTCTCCACACAAAGAGGTAAATTCACTGACGTGGCAAGCAACCACTGGTTGCACGTAAACAATACTAGAGTCTACATAACCAGACAAATCCACTACAAAAGTACACAACGTGGCATTGTTGTCATCCCCTCCCATTTCCAAGACCAAGGATGAGGATCCTCTCCTCTAGCAAAGGATGAGGATCCTCCTGACCAAGTTTATCGGATCGTTAAAATTTTATCTAACGATTACAAACAGGGGCCTCTCTAAAAGGATGAGGATCCTCTCCTCTAGCAAAGGGTGAGGATCCTCTCCTCTAGCAAAGGGTGAGGATCCTTCTGATCAAGCTTATCGGGTCGTTGAAATTTTATCTAACGATTACAAACAGGGCCTCTCTAAAAGTTATAATAATTGTAACTATTGGATAAATTTTTAATGATTTGATGAGTTTGGTCAAGAAAATCCTCTTTCTTTGCTCATGAGAGAATCCTGTTCCCAAAACAAATATCAAACCATACCCCTCCCTCCCTAATCAATAAAAATCCAACTCATTATCCACAAATCATTTCAGCCCTCCATTCCCCCAATCCAACGGCCAACCTTCCCACTCGTATCCCAAACTGTATCCACCAAATAAAAAATAAGTTACTTCACACTCTTGCCACTCTCACACTCACCTCCTCCTCCTCCTTCTCCTCCTCTGCTTCAGCTGCTCCGATCAAAAAAATGGCCTCCAGAGCCCTCAAATCCTTCATCGGCCTCCGCCAAACTGCCGCGGAGAAACCCCATTTTACAATCCAGGAAAAACCCATTTCTCCAAACCCCTCAAACCACCGGACCCTCCAAGTCAAAGTCGCCAAAACCAGCCCTAAAGTCACTGGCCGAAACCTCCGAGTCGCCGTCATAGGCGGCGGACCCGCAGGGGGAGCTTCCGCAGAAACTCTCGCCAAGGGCGGCGTCGAGACGTTCCTCATCGAGCGGAAAATGGACAACTGCAAGCCCTGCGGCGGCGCCATCCCGCTCTGCATGGTGGGCGAGTTCGACCTCCCGCTGGACATCATCGACCGCCGCGTCACCAAGATGAAGATGATATCGCCGTCAACGTGGCGGTGGACATCGGGCAGACCCTGAAGCCGCACGAGTACATTGGGATGGTGAGGTGGGAAGTGCTGGACCAGTACCTCAGGAACAGGGCGAGTGAGAACGGCGCGACGGTGATAAACGGGTTGTTTCTGAAGATGGATAAGCCGGGAGATGGGGAGGCGCCGTACGTTCTGCATTACACGGAGTACGACGGGAAGGCCGGTGGCATAGGCGTGAAGAAGACGATGGAGGTTGATGCGGTGATTGGAGCTGATGGGGCGAATTCCAGAGTGGCTAAGAACATTGATGCTGGTGATTATGAGTATGCCATTGCCTTCCAGGTAATTAATTATGAACTTGCTTTGTTTTTAATTTGTTTTTTGAGCTTTGCATGTATAGACATTTTGTTTTCTTTCTTGAGCTAACGGAAAAAAAATGGTGCAAAACTGAGTGCAATGTTGTTCGAATATTAATAAAGCCGACTCCACTTATTGGAATACGACTTTGTTGTTGTGTGAAATTGCGATATTCAAAACAAGTCTAATCTCAAATTCTGGGTGCAAGGTGTACCATAACGAACAAACTGATCTAACTCACGTCTGTGTTGAAAATTGCTACTTAATTATAAACTTAGGGGAAGAAAGTAACTTTTAGTTTAATTTGCAGTCAAGTTTTGTGCTTTGTGTTTTTAATCACCTAATCTAAGTTGCCGAATGATCAACAAATTCAAAGTTTAAGAAGTCTGCTTTACTGAAAGTTTGATCTAAGCCAATACTTTCTGGTGTAACACTTGAATGTTCATTTGGTTCAATGTTTGATTCGTTCTTATTAAATTCTTGGTTTCTGCCTTGTACAGGAGAGAATCAAAATCCCTGATGACAAGATGGTGTACTATGAGAACCTCGCCGAGATGTATGTTGGCGATGATGTCTCGCCAGACTTTTACGGGTGGGTGTTCCCGAAATGTGACCATGTAGCAGTTGGTACCGGCACTGTGACTCACAAAGGAGACATCAAGAAATTCCAACTAGCAACAAGAAACAGAGCCAAGGACAAGATTCTAGGCGGCAAAATTCTCCGAGTGGAGGCACATCCAATTCCAGAACACCCCCGGCCATGAAGGTTGGCAGGCAGAGTAGCACTCGTTGGTGATGCAGCCGGGTATGTAACAAAATGCTCGGGCGAAGGCATCTACTTTGCAGCAAAGAGTGGCAGGATGTGCGCCGAGGCAATAGTTGAGGGCTCGGAGAATGGGAAGAGGATGGTGAACGAGGCGGAGTTGAGGACATACTTGGAGAAGTGGGACAAGACTTACTGGCCTACTTACAAGGTGTTGGATGTGTTGCAGAAGGTGTTCTATAGGTCAAACCCCGCGAGGGAAGCGTTTGTGGAGATGTGCGCGGACGAGTACGTGCAGAAGATGACGTTCGATGGCTACTTGTACAAGAGGGTGGTGCCGGGGAATCCGTGGGAGGATTTGAAGTTGGCTGTGAATACCATTGGGAGCTTGGTTAGGGCTAATGCACTTAGGAGGGAGATGGAAAAGATTAATGTATGAAAGGAGGAAGGCTACTTGGTGTAAATTTTTTTGTTTTTGTATTCTTTTTCTTGCGTAATGAGGTACGATCTCTTTGGAATTCCATATTTGTTACGAGGGTTTGTAATTGTGATATAATTTCAGTGTTAACGGTTTTGTTGTATCTGAAATTCTGCATAAATTAGAAAAGGCATGAACTAAGCCTTATTATGATTTATCTTTTGAACTTTTAATTTAGTTATGAGCCCATCTAATTTTTAATACAGGCTAATTTGGTGTCAACGGTCAAATTTGTCAATTTGTCTATTAATTGAGGGTTGTTTATGTCCATTTCAATTCGGGAAAAGAGAACAAATAAAAAATTAACTTCATTATTATAAACCAAATTATTAAATATTTCAAACAAATCCCGAAATTCAAAACTACCAGTTATTCAATAAAAACCCAAAATTCCAAATAATAAACCAAAAGTCCTGACATGATTTGTTACAAACGCTTCTCTACTCCATAGCCTTCTTTGAGCTGGGTATTCCCGGAATTCTGGAGCCAATGTTATTGCAGAACCTCTTGGGCAATAACTTCATTATATATTCCTTACTCAATTTATGCTCCAAATTGGCAAACATGGATTAAGGCTACCCGACCTCACGAAGATTGCTCCACATTTACAATCCATCAAGAAGGCTATGGAATATCCAAATAGCTTCGTATAGCCTGAATCTGAGCGCCATTGGGGTGGGGAGTGGGGATGCAATTGTTCTTGGTTGGCTGCATGGAGGATACGCAGCACCGTCTCTACTGGTCATTTGCTTTCTCTTGATTGTCCTTGAGATGATATTAAATTTGTTATATGTTTTAAGTTTCACACTGTAAAAGTATGTTATTAATTTAAATTACTCTCACAATTCTATTTTTAGTATAAGCGATCCTTCCCTTTTACAAAGAGCTAATTTTCATAATTTCTATTGATTTGAGTTACCGTCGTAATCTCGTTTCCAGTACAAATGACCCTTCCCCTTTACAAATAGCTAATTTTCATAACTTTTTAATTTTTGTTGTTGTACTAGTATGATGTGTCTAAAGATGTCTGGTATTTGTAGGTGGGAGGTAGGTAAATGTCTACACACAACAAACCCCATAAACTTTGATTTTTTTTTTTTTTTCGGATGAGGATCCTCTTTGTCAGGATCTTAAGAATTCTTAAATTGTGTCCGTTCATTGTACATCGTGCAATCATATATTATTTAATTAAATATAAATAATACATAATCAAAACTGACCGCACAATATACGATAAACTGGACACAATTTAAAAATATCCAAAATTCTCGTAAAAAGGATTCTCCTGACTTTATTTCAAGTTTCTTGTTAAGCATCTACTTCTTATTTTATTGTAGATTAATCTCAGCCGTTGGAAGGGATCAGAGATTAGCGGCGTGATGAAGCAAACAAAATTGGTAGATTCCGTGTGCATCGGGTCCCACACATTTAAAAATTGAAGACAACGGTGTGGATTTATCCGAGGTCCATTGGCGGAGCTTCTCACGATCTCAAAGGGCAAAACCCCAAAAGGTCCAAAAACCCACCACTTTCTCGCTCCTATAAATCCCTCCCTTTCCAATTCGCGTCTCCGTAGCTCCCTGGTTGTTGGCGTTCGTCTTCCTCATCAAGGTTAGGACTTTTCAAACAATTTCTGAAGATTTAATTTGGGTTTTATTGTTTTAATTCGTACATTCACGGATCTATGAGCAATAGTTTCAGATCTGATGGGTTTTTTTTTTTCGAATTTTCCCAGCTGTTTAGTTCTTCATTTTTTTTTTGCTTCTGAATCTGAAAGATGGATGGAAATCTTTTTTTTTTATTTTATTGCTGTAGACATAGCCCAGAATTTATGTTTTCATTTGGTGAATTGGGTTGCAGTTCATTTGATATTTAATCGTGTAAAAATGTTTGCTTTTTTGTGTTTATGAATTCGAGTTTTTGAGTTCGATTGAATTTGTGTGCTACAGAGCGTGAGAGATGGCAGCGACATCAGCAGCTACCTTTTCCATCGGAACCAATTGTTCCCTTGGCCACAAGGCGGCGTCATTTCAACAGCCAAAGCCTTGTGCTTTGAGGTTCAACTCCCAAAACCTTCTCAAGAGCTCTTTCAGTGGGCTAAAGGCAACCACATCTTTCAATTGCGAAACCGAGACCTCGTTCTCGGGCAAAGAAACTGCCAAGGCTCTTCGAGCTTCTTTCGCTCGAAAAGCCCACAAGGATGCCCAGATGGTTCGGTCTCAGTTCCAGCCCCAGGCCTCTTATAAAGTAGCTGTTCTTGGAGCTGCTGGTGGGATTGGTCAGCCACTGGCTCTTCTGATCAAGATGTCGCCTTTGGTCTCCTCCCTGCATCTTTACGATATTGCTAATGTCAAGGGTGTCGCTGCTGACTTGAGTCACTGCAACACTCCCTCCGAAGTTCTCGATTTCACTGGAGCAGCTGAGTTGCCCAGTTCCTTGAAAGGTGTGGATGTGGTGGTCATTCCCGCTGGAGTTCCAAGAAAGCCTGGTATGACCCGTGATGACCTCTTCAACATCAATGCCGGCATTGTGAGGAACTTGATCGAGGCTGTGGCTGATAACTGTCCTGATGCATTCATCCACATTATCAGTAATCCGGTGAACTCCACGGTGCCAATTGCTGCCGAAGTTCTGAAGCAGAAGGGTGTTTATAACCCTAAAAAGCTCTTTGGTGTTTCTACCTTGGATGTTGTGAGGGCGAACACATTTGTTGCTCAGAAGAAGAATCTGAAACTGATTGATGTTGATGTCCCGGTTGTTGGAGGACATGCTGGGATAACTATTCTGCCCCTGCTATCCAAGACAAAACCCTCAGTCAGCCTCACTGACGAAGAAGTTGAACAACTAACTGTTAGGATCCAAAATGCTGGAACTGAGGTTGTAGAGGCAAAGGCAGGTGCTGGGTCCGCGACATTGTCAATGGCATATGCAGCAGCCAGATTTGTTGAGTCATCTCTGCGGGCACTGGACGGAGATGGGGATGTCTATGAGTGCTCTTATGTAGCATCTGATCTGACCGAGCTTCCATTCTTTGCATCAAGGGTTAAGCTTGGAAGGAACGGAATTGAAGCTTTCATACCGTCTGACCTCCAAGGTTTGACACAGTATGAGCAAAAGGCTTTGGAAGCACTCAAGCCGGAACTGAAAGCCAGCATTGAGAAGGGTATTGCTTTTGCCAACAAGCAGACCGCTACTGCTTAGGCCGCTATTATCAGAAGCTTCTATTACCTCATTCCAGTGAATGCTTTACAGATATTTTTATGCGGATTTAGCATTACATCAGTACTTTCAGTTTTGTAGAATGAAGTCGATATCCTTTCAGCGATCTATGTTGAAGTGATTTTCGGAAGAAATATAGAGTTGCTTCTGTTGTTGTAGATTGAAGAATATTAGCCTTCTCTTGCGGAAACTTGTAGTGACAGTTTTGAAAAAAACTTGGCTGGTCGATCATGAGTTTTTAGGAATATCATGTATTTCTATCATGCGTGTTGCAAGGGTTAGTTTCCGATGCAGCAAATAAATTCGAAAGAATGTGAATCCGTACTTTTCAATTGCAATACTTTCTTGTTCTACAAGCTTTCGTACTTTCGATACTTAGATTGTTCGAAAAATCACTTATCGTCCAAAATGAATGTTTACAAAACTTGCCCTCATAGAAGCTATGTGGGAAGAAAGTATCATTCAGCAAATTTCAGCAGGTTTGCCAGCAACCAGACCGTGACTGCAAGTATTGTTCTTCGGAAGCTGAACTGTCGTTTTCTGTTCATCTTGTAAAGTTTAGGGCACCAATAGTTACTTAACTATAACTATGTACCACCATCCATTTCATCTGCAGAAAATTGTTCCCAGTTGCTCATCTTTTCTGTAAATCTTGAATTTTCCTACCAATAGCCATTGCAGGAGCAGTGTCCCTCCCGGAAATGATGAAACCGGGTGCGGTCTCTGATAATTACCTCTCTGTTGTAAACCCCTGAGAGAGCCATCGCGAAATTGTGGCAATCAACACAAATGCGAAGATTCTTGGCCACTCTGATTGGAGTGCCGGGAGGAGTTGACAGAACACCGAAAGCAATAGCCAATTTCTCGCTGTGGTAAGAGAGGGCATGCCCCTTGTCTTCTGCTCCCAAGTTGTGCAATTCAGATGTTACATCTGCAACATAACCAGCAATCTTCAGCTGGCTAGTAATCTCATCCAGCATTTTGTAGATTTCATCCTTCCGCAAATGTGAAACATCATCCACAACAAACTCGTGTGCTACTCCTTTCAGTTCAATCGTGCTACATCCCGGTGTAGTTTTAATTGCTTTTTCCTTCATAAACTTCCTCACTTCTGTTAGCTTCTCCCAGTTCCCAGCTGAAGAGTAAATATTCATCAATAGAACATAATCCCCAGCCTCTTGAGCCTTGAGTTCAATCAAATGGCCTACCACTCGTTCTGCAAGGGAATCACTGCCATGAATTCTGCAAGCCCCAAGTAAGGTCCTCCATATTGTAGGATCTGGTTTGATATCCATCGACGTTATGAGCTGATAGGCCTGATCAAGTTGACCAGCACGACCCAAAAGATCAACCATGCACCCATAGTGATGGACATTTGGCACTACCCCAAACTCTTTGCTCATAAGATCGAAAAACATCTTTCCTTCATCAACCAAACCACAATGGCTGCAAGCACAAAGAACTCCGGTAAAAGTCTGATCATCAGGTAAAACACCCATTTTCTGCATCTCTTCAAACGCTTCAATAGCTTCTCTACCATAACCATTCACTGCCAACCCTGAAATCATCGCACTCCACGAAACCACGTTTTTATCCCGCATTCCCTTAAAAACCCCATAGGCCTTATCCAAACTCCCACAACGCGAATACATCGATACAAGACAGTTGCACAAATTTGAAGCACCACCATAACCGTGTTCCTCAATGTACTTATGAACCCGTTCGCCAAACTCCAACGCGTTCAAGCTGGCACAAGCTTGTAGCACAAGCAAACACGTAACGTCATCAGGCTCACACCTATGTATCTGACTCTGCATAATATCAAACAAACCCAGAGCATCCCTTGTCCGGTTATTATGCAAACAACAAGAAATCAATACATTCCAAGCCACAGTATCTCTCTTGGGCATTTCATCAAACACCTTACACGCTTCATCATACTTCCTGCAATTCGAATACAAATCCATCAAAGTGGTCAGCAAAAGACTGTCTGATCGATGCCCATCTCTCAAAATCCTAGCATGCACCTGAATCCCGCCCACCAACGACGAAACTCTAATGCAGGACTTGATGACAAAAGACGACGCCATAGCGTCGGCGCAGAGGCCGCGCCGCCGCAAATCTCTGTACAGATAAAACCCCTCCGCCGGCGAGTCGCTCTTGGAGTAAGCTCTTATCATTTTGTTGTAGTGAAAAGCCGTCGGCTTTTCGATTTGGTCGAAGAATTGGCAGGAATATGTGATGCTTTTCAATGGGGAAAGAGCGACGACGAGGGACAGGAACCGGAAGGAAATGGTGGGGTCCAGAACGAGCGACGTTCGGAGGATGTGGGCGTGGATTTGGAGAAGATGGGATTTTGTGGTGCATGATTTGATGAGGGACAGCAAACGGGTTGATGAAGAGGTTTGAAGTAGTTTCTGGTACGAGGTTTGAGCTTTGGTTGCGACTGGAAGCGCCGTCATTTTTTCACTCTCATGCTTTTGCTTGCAAAGAAGTCTAATGTAAATTTTCAAGACTTTGGGTTGCTTGGAATTGCAGATGTAGAAAACACTTTTGCTCGTAAGCGTTTTTATTAGAAGCATCAGTCAAAAAGAAATTGGCATATTTTTCTTTATAAAGCGCTTCTATAAACCAAAATAAATGCCAAGTGTTTGTATCATGGATGGGAGGATCTTTCGTCTAGTCGCCTAACCACTTGTCATGTTTGATTGACATCGCAAGTGAATAAGATCTCTTGTATATTACTCTCATTTTGTCCACATTGGTACCAAGAAATTTTTAAATGTGTCAGGAACACAACTCGATACATCAAGTGTCAATCATTTTATTATGACACTTAGTGTATCGAATCGTGTTTTCAGCATACTAAAAATGTCTTGTTATCACCTCATGAGAGAGTTAACCTACGCGGTAAAGCTATGTAAGATTCTTCCCGAAATGGAACCACAATGTTAGAAAATTCAGAGCCCCATTGCTCATGAAGTTACACACTCATAATACATCACTAAAATTCAAAAACATGGAGTCTATAAGAAAATTAAAAAAAAATAAATAAACACATGAAAACTAAATTGAAATTAGAAAAAGCAATTCCAACCGATTAAAATTTAAAATAGAGTGTTGCATGCATTGTTATTTGAGGAAAATGAGTCGGACAAGAGAGACTTAATTTCTTCGTCTTCCTCGTCAGCATCCATCGAGCTTGTTGGGTACTGAATGTTGCTGCAACTGAGAGATGATTGTGATTGCCCCATAACATTCATCCCCATGATCTTCCTCTTCTTGTAATTGGCTTTGAAGCAGGCCTGCCTCAACCGCTTCGTATTGTCTTCAAGCTGCATGTCAGGCACTTCCTCCAGCAGCTTCCTCTCCCTCTCCAGCAACGCGATCGCATTCCGAAGCTTATCTGAGCTCTCTTCTCCTTCCTTTCCTAACTCCTGCATGAACAAAAACGATATAATCAGTACACGTTAAGTTTTTTTGAATCAAACACGAACACGTACAAATATGTAACGCCTATTTATGAGCACTAAAAATTGGATGAAAAACGTTGGTACGCGCATAAAATCATTAGTTATTGTTACAAGGTTAACCTGAATGTTTCGGATTAGGGTTTGAAGGCTGTTCAGCTTCCGGTGAGGCCACCGACGAATGCCCAACTCCCGACACCTTTTTTTGAGAAGGGTTAGCCCTACGTTGAGTTCTTTTGCTGCCTGAGTGATTGGCATGTAAAAGTACTGCGAAACGGTCTCTCTTGACAACATTTTGGAGGAAGAGAGAGAGGAGCTTGATGATCTATGTCTTTTATAAGAGAGTGCCCTCTTACTAATCACCTTATTTCTCTCTTCCCTTGAATCGTTCTCATCAGTTATGCCATTTTTTTCATTTTCGCATGTCAGAAGCAAAGGTTGCTGTTGTTGTTGTTGATATTGCTGATGATGGTTGTGATTAACCTCAGTTAACCCAGCGCATAGATCACTAGAATTAACTCCCAACCAGGCCGTTTCGTTTGCAAAGAAAATTCCATCATCTGCTTAACTTTTGAACGTTAGATTAACTTCAACTGTACATCAAAAACGTCGACGAGACATCAAAGTACTAACAGGAATACTGAAACACACCTTCTAATACAGTTCGGATTGGTGGAATGTCGAGTGAGGAGTAAATAGGATCAATGTCCGCGCAGCTCTCGAGTGGAAGAGGATCAAGAAAGCTATGATCTTGTACGATTGGCAAATCAAATTGCCAATCCAATGCAGCATACCCCCTTCAAATAATTTAACATCCACAACAGAAATATTGAAGAATATTATTACATATAAATCAATATTGCATGACAAAAACTAAGCTTTTGAAACCAAAAAAAAAGAAAAAAACGCTACAGTTAAACAAGATGACATATATATATATATATATTGTATGTATGTATAGATGTATGCAAACATCAGTAATATTCACACACACACACACACACCTGAAATCATGTGCAGTGGAAAATGTAGGTTGATTCGGGAAGAAAAATGGGTCTTCACCAAGATCCTTGACGACGTCGTACTTGGCCAGCCAACCCATCAGTGAATGACTTGTCATTTGATGAGAGAGAGATATAGAGAGAGAGAGTGTGTGTGTGTGTACAGCAGGAGGAGGAGGAGGAAGGAGAAGAGACGAGTGGGTATATATATCAGATGGATGAAAATCCCATACATGAAGTGTTATTCCTTCATTGTTCACTGTGCGTGCTTAATTATTACCCAGTGAGAGTTACAAAGATGTATTAATTGAGGAAATTATCTCCTCGTAAACACATAATTATTATTTTTAATTTATTATCAGGAGTTCACGATGATCATTAGCCTACATGAACGTGCGCCGCCACAACTCCCACCACCACAGGTCACCTAATTAATTTGATTATTCTTCCTTTCTCAGTTTCCCTCCTATAATTTCTTTCTTGATTTTGCTAATTAACCATACTCTACTCAACTGAAATCATTTTTTTCTTTATAATTTGTTTGGCTGCAATATAATTACTTTAGGACTTGGAAGTAGAGAAATTTGTTATTGTGACGGAAATAGGGATGATACATTACGTGTTTATATATAAGTGGTGAAAATTTTTATTTTTTAAATTATTAACTTTTTAACACACATATCTCACCATTTTGAATAGTGACACGTGATGTACCGTTCCGTATTCCGATCACACAGAAAAATATCTCTTTAGAAGTGATTTGCATGCTTGCCACATGTCATCGATTTTTCTTCTTCTGAAGCTACCTACCTATTTGCTTGGAGTATAGTAATCTTGGAAATCTGGGTGGTGGTCTTGCTATAGCCGTTCTATATATATGTAAATGATTATCATTTCCGGTCACGTTTGTTCACCTTTTCCAATTATAACATGTCTTTCGTTCGTCCTTTGGATCGAATTGTATATAGGTGAAAATTATTTTTCAAAATCCTAATAATTTTTAGGATCATCACCCTTTTCTCTGTATAGAGGTTCAAGGATATATGAGCACAAGAAAAAAATAGTTCATGCGTATGATACATGTTGAAATTTCCAACAAGATTTTAACAGAGGCCGCATATTTTTATTCGTGAATGAATATCGTATGGCATTACATAGATTTACCCTATTCTTTTAATTGGAAAAATAAGATTATACATTATATTATCAGTGGTGTTTTTGTTCAAATTTTTTTTTAACTGTGAAAAATAACGTGGCTTAGATTAATTACACTGCAGAGAGTGGATTGGGTTTTAAAATAGGTTCATGTAACGTACCAATAATCATTTACAACGTAATGGTTAATCATTTTATTAAATTTATTAGGACAGAAGGGAATGTTGATTAGACATAATTTTCTATCAACAGTTATAAATATTTTGATTAATTAAGCAGCCATTTTCGTTCTGGTTATTGCGTCCGAGTGGTGGCCAATTATTGCCATGGCCAGTTAATCCACAAAAATGGGGTGATTGTTATGCAGTTAATTATTATTATTTGAGTTCAAATTCTCTCTTGCAATTTTTCTCAAAAAAAAAAAAAATCTCTTCCAATTTATCAAAAATATGAAATAACAAGTACCAAGAACTTGATTAATATTGTGGTTATAAGTTGAACAATGTGTGAGAGAAAGAAAAAAGGATTCTTTGTTGTATAGTTGGATCTTAATGTATAAAGGTATCTTTCATGTAAGATGTAAGATGTTTTGAAATGGGCATTTTATATTTCTTGTTTTTAAGGTGTAGAGAACTCATCTTAGCCGGTTAATGTAAATAAAAATTTACATTTAGTTGGTGATAGCCTAGTTCGATTTTTAAATTTCTCAATTGAAATACTCTAATGAATGTTTACCGAGCATTATAATGAAATGGGTATTATCAGCAATGATTCATCAACTTAACCACCTCGCACTAATTGACCCGACTCATACCCTTAAGTTCTCACGTTTTTGGTTAAACAAAAAAAAAAAAAAAAAAAAAAAAAGAGGTATCTACCACTAAAGGCTTTTTAGTCAAAATGGTTTGAGATTTGTATAACTCATCACTTTGGTACCTGAGATTGAAAATCAATAGAAATGGTCTCTGAGATTGTTCACCATCCATTATTTTGGTCATTCTGTTAAAAACTCTTTAAGTATCCAGAACTCTTGGCCAGAAGTTTGGGGAATTTTCAAAGCTTCGTAACTCAATCGTTTTTTAACCAAATTCGACCCATAATATATCAAAATGAAGATAGGAAAGTGTAGAACATGATTATACCCATTTGGAAGCCCAATGTTTGCCTAAGATGGCCGAAAAATAGCCTAAAAGGTGACTAGTCCGCGGGAAAACTGGAAAACTTGCCGAGAACTAGGTAAACTTTAAACGTTTATAACTTATTCAATACTCAACGAAATCGAGTGATTCAAAAATGAAAATCATACTTCTCGACGAGACAAAGAGAATGGTACTTTCTCGAAGATTGACTCGCTGTGGTTTGGCCGGAAAACAGCTCGAAAATGACTGTCTTGGTCATCAAGTTAGCCACTTTTGAGTCGTTTTCTGGCCTAACCACGACGATTTAGCCTTCGAGAAAGGTACCATTCTCTTCGTCTCGTCGAGATGATTTTCGTTTTTGAATCACTCAATTTTGTTAAGTATTGAAGAAGTTATGAACATTTAAAGTTTACCCAGTTTTCGGTATATTTTCCAGTTTTCCCACGGACCAGTCAAATTTCAGGCTATTTTCCAGTCATCTTAGGCAACCATTGGGCTTCCAAATGGATATAATATTGTTCTACACTTTCCTATCTTCATTTTGATATATTATGGGTCAAATTTGGTTAAGAAACAATTGAGTTACGAAGCTTTGAAAATTGCTCAAACTTCCGGCCAAGAGCTCCGAATCACTTAACGAAGTTTTTAACAGAATGACCAAAATAATGGATGGTAGACAATCTCAACAACCAGTTCTATTGATTTTCAATCTCAGAAAAGTGATGTGTTATGTAAATCTCAGGAACCATTTTAGATAAAAAGCCACCACAAAATAACAATAGAAACAGCAAAAGAAGTCATTAAGAATCAAAATTTGGATAGACACAAACTGTTTTAGCTTCAATAAAATAGAAGTAATATAACCAGGTCCAAAACTTTTCTACTTTGAAACTTTGCTAAACACAAACGCGAGCAACGGGAAACTAGAGACTACATTTCAGTTTCTCGGCTTACCCCTTCCACGACCACGCCAGCCTCCACCACCGCCACCACCCCTGCCGCCCTTGCCACCTAAGACTTTATTGGCTTCAGCGTTTGCTTTCATGTTCTCAGGCAAGGGAAGTATATGGTCCACACACTTCCTGAAGCTAAAATCATCAACAACTTCATCTTCCCTAATGAGGAAGAAGCACCTGCTTTTATACAACGGATGGATCCGAACTTGGAAAGCCTTGACCCCTCCGCCAATCTTCTTATCAGGCTCGGCATGACCCTTCTTAAGCAAGTCCAGCAAAACCAGATATTCATACTGCAAATATAACATGAATTTCAAAAACAAAATAAACAAAAAAAAAAAAATCATCCAATAACAAGAGATATAATGTAGGGCAGTGAACTCAAAATCAAGGCACTATATGATGCAATCACAACCAATTCACACAAATCTTACAAAATTAACCACGTTTTAGTTGAAAAATCTAGAGCTGATCTCGTTGTGTAAGCATAACTCAACTCTATGAACTCAAATACAGATTGATGTGAACAGATTCTAGGTTTAATGTAGCAAAGACCAAAGAATTACCACAAACGAGCTTCCTACCAAATTCGAAGAGAAATCACATTCACGCGTGAATTAGATCTTCAAAAGCATAAATGAATAATACGCACTCAAATTCAAAACATAACATTCAACTCGAATCCAGAATGCTGTGAACAGATTCTTAATGTAGCAAAGACCAAAGAACTACCATGTTCGAGCTTCCTACCAAATTCTAATAGAATTCACATTCACGCTTAAATTAGATCTTCAAACGCATAAATGGTAATACTCACTCAAATTCAAAACATAACATTCAACTCGAAACCAATATTTTCGGTTGGAAAGTGATTTGTGCATCTTATGTTCTTGCCCTCCCATCTTTCTAGCAATCGGATTGAATAAATCAAACACAACATCTCCGACTTTACTGATTAAAACAAAAACCTATTTGTAAAACTGGGTAATACACCAAACCCGCAGCAGTTGATGATCAACCAAACAGAGGAAAGCAAACAACCCAAAACCAAATTTCCCAAATCCAAATTAATCCAATTACAAAACACCAAATTAAATAAATCACACATTCTATTGCTATCCACTAACAAAAAGTTCCAATCTTTAACTTTCAGCATATTAAAAACAGAGCTCAAAGATTAAAAACAAATTCATAGCGTTGTTTCGGTACCTTATTGACATTGAGATCAGTAGGCCAGTAATGGAGGAACTTGTAGAAGTAGTCGAACATCTCCACCGACGACCCAAAACTCTTCGGACCCAAGCTGACCCGACCCGACTTCTCTCCTTCCTCAAATTTCTTCTCAAACCGTTCTTCCTCCGGCGACTTCTCCACTTTCGTCTTCTTTGCATCGTTTTCTTCACTCCCCTCCTCGTCCCTCACCCGCTTCGAGTTCGCCTCAGCCTCCCCGTCAGTAGCTTCGACCTCGTCCGGATTTTGAGCCGCGGCGGGCTCTGAAGTTTCTAGGTCCATATCTTCAGCGGCGGCAGCGGTGGCAGGGGCGGCGGCTTCAGTTTCGGGGAGTTTCTCTGCCATACTGTCTGGTTGTGATTGTGTGTGAAGGCAAAACCTAGGATTTTGGGTTGTTTATATATGGGAAGATAGTATACGGTAACGGAAAAAGATCCTCACCCTAGATTTTAGATTTCGTGATTGTAATCATTCATTGTATATCGTGCGGTCAGAAATCATGAATTTAAAATTTAAAATTAAATATAAAAAATACTTAATAAAAATTGATCGTACGATATACGATGAACGATTACGATCACGAAATCCTATGATCTCCATAACAAGGATCCGGCGATGATCCTTTTCCTATTGTAACCTCTCTTTGAGGTGGAATCCGGTTCGCGCAATAATTTCACATTCCGTTGGGCAACCGGTTATTATATATTTCCTTTTTTCCCTTGTGAAAAATAATTATAACAACATATAAAATATTTAAAATTGAGTAATGTTACACTTAATATAATTTTGTATTATATTTGTACTTTTTTTTTAATAGAGTATAACTCATCAACGTATGTGGGTTCATCTTTATTACCAATGTGGCGTGAAAAATGTTGTATGAATAATATTTTTGTTTGAAAATATTCACATATAGATGTAGTTAAATACAAAAATATGATATTCATAGCTAAATTGGTTATTGTATGATATCGCTATGTACTTGTGTTTGAATTTCTCTCTTAATAATTTATCATATATTAGTTACAACATCACTTGAATAAAATTGGTTACAAGTTTTTTTATTAGAAAGCACTAAGCAGTTACAATATGTAAAGGCTTTTGTTTATGTATCATTCCAAAAGGGTTAGACATGTTTTTAAAATGACTGAAAGTGTTTTTAGGTTCCAAAAGCACTTGAAGTGTTTCATGCAAGAAACACCGGCTATGTTTCTTACAGGAAGCACTTTAAGTGCTTTTCCAAAATTTACTTACATTTCACTAAGTATTGGTTTGGTACTGAGGTGCTTTTATAAAAAATAGGTATAATAAAAATAAATAAATAAAACTAAGCTAAAAAAGGTATTTGGTAAACACTTAAAAACAACTTATTTTCACAGTTTTAGGTGAGAAAAAGCTAAAAACGTGAAGCAGCAAAAATGAGATTATTCTCATAACACATCAGAAGTAGTTTTTTTTCAAAGCATAGCAATACCAAACCAGCCATAAGACTTGGTTCCAAAAGTGCTAACTGAAAGCAATTTTAGTCATTTTAAAAGTACTTACAAGTCCTGAATACATTTTTTATTGCATGCATTTTGCATAAAAAGCATAGAAGTTCTTCTAGGTCGTATAATTGCTTTTTGAAAAAGCACACGTTAAGTGTTTCCTAAAAAAAAAATTTCAAATGAGAACTTCGACTTTTAATAAAAATTTCACCCTGTTTGTAATAAAAGCTCTTCAAGCCAAAAAAAAAAAAAAACGTACGAGTTAAAGTGCTTCTTTCAAAAGCAGTTATTGTTTGATATTTTTTAATGTATGTTTTAGTGTAATATTTCCCTAAATCTTTCATTGGAAGTGACAAGAAAGAGTAAAGGGATCACAAAATTTGCACACTTGTTTCAACATGGTAAAAGGTCAAGTAATGATAAGTGGTGTTTCTAGGAGAGTCTCATATGTTCATGAACCGTTCAATGCTTGTATGTCAAACATTCAATTTTACAAGTTACCATGAAAAATTCAAAATTACTCTATCATTTTTAATAAAAAGAAGAAAAAAAACCCTAATAAAAAAGTTCAGCTGACAATGTTCTTTGATCTTTTTTGGGTAAATACAAATTAGATTATGCTTGTTTTCATCTTCTACTTAGAGTTTTCTATATGCTTGTTTTTGTTTTTATTTACGAGCGATAATTAAATAGAGAAAGAATTGAACCCGAGATTTTAAATACAAAAATGAATACATTTAACCAACTAAATCACGAGATTTATAGTGAAACTTAAAACTGGTTACTTTTGTTGGGAATGGTTACCTACTATATAACATCATGCGGACACGCATCCGTGACCGTTAATGTTGAAACACGCGCTAAATCTCGTGCGCAGAGCGAGGTACATCTGCACCGTCCAAGTCACACTCATGTCTCTCTCAACGGTCAAGATGAACTGAAACCCTCCATTTGGTACAGAATCTACAGAGGATTCTGGCCCTAGCTTTGGATGGACGTTACCGAACGTAGGCTCTTTGAATCCGAACCTGGATGCCTTAGAAATTAAATTAAATTAAACTAAACTTTTTGTTTCACTATCGTGGAAAAGCAAAAGGTTAAAGGGCAAGATATTTTCACAAGAGAAGAATTTCTCAAGAGTTTCTACAGCTCAAATTCCAGGTCTTTTCATAGGTACTTTCGAATTTTGATTCTTCTTTTTTTCCCCAATTTGTTTAATTTCTTATAAATTCCGTTTTCTGGATTTTTACAATGCATTTTTTGGTGTAGATTCTTCAATTTTCGGTGTTGAGAATCATAAAGTTGTTGCATTTCGATCTGGGTTGTGAATTTTTAGGTTTCATGGATCGGCGATTGAATCGAATCGGTGTGTTTTGTGGAATTCGGGTGTCGATTTGGGTAGGGGAAGTTTGGGGATTTTGGTGGGTTAGGGATTCGGCAAAGTGTGGGATTTTTTGTTTGGTAGCTGAGAAAGGAGGTGATTCCTTTTTCTCGGCTTTCTTATTGCTTAAGTTATTTTGGAAAATTAGATGGAATCAATGGAGGCATTGGTCGTGCTGTATCGGTTTAATAGTATACAATGTTAGATTGTTTGATTTCTTTGCCTTTTGTTTCGCCTTTTGTGTTATGTTCTTACTAGCATCCGAACACGCGGCTGAAATCGATCGAATGCAGGGTAGTTTCGGAAAGTTTGAAGCTTTAATGTTTGGTTACCTGCCTTTTTGTTGTAGAAATTTCAAATGCAGGGTAATTTCGAGCTGTTGTAGAAATTTGAAGGCTTTGCTTTCGGCTTGGTTTCCAGTAGAACTGAGGAGGATAGTAGAGAAGTTCGATTAGAACGTTATTGTCTAGGTCAATGCCTTGCCATTCGTTCTTCTAGGTCTAGATACTGAAAGAAATAGGATTTAAGATCCGATTTCTTAAATTTTTATGCACTTCTATGCAGTACTTCTTTCTTCCATGATCAATGGAACCCATAAACGTGACTTTTTTTAACATTTCTAACTTTCAATTTGGTGTATCTTACTGTATTTTGAAGGAGATTGTGTTGAATGATTGAATTTTTTTTTCTCTGTGTTGTGGATGCAGGAGCTTTAATTTGAGTGCGAATGGGTGATCACCTGGTGTTGTGTGTTGACCACTTCACAAAACCTGAAAGCTTGCAAGGGAGTGAGACCCCAGGATCTTCTGTAGAGGGTTCATGCTCCCACTCTGCTAAGCTACCCACTTGTGCCATTGATGTTAAGGGAGTGGGGGAGAAGACTGTATCTGAAGAAGAAGAGCCTCTGATTCAGACGGTTGAATGTCGCATTTGCCAGGAAGAAGACAGCGTTAAGAATTTGGAGGTCCCCTGTTCTTGCAGTGGCAGCTTAAAGGTACGTTTATCTATTGATATCTATCCATTTCTTTAAACTAGAAATTTTTTATATTTTTTTTGGAGGGGGCTGTGGGGGAGGGTTGTCACTCGTTTATTTCCTTTGACCCTAATTACTTAAATATGTCAACATTTGCAATAGAGAAATTCTTGAAGTAGGATACTCTTGGTGTTTAAATACGATTGTTGTTAGCGACTTTGTTCAAAATATATTCTCCACTGCAGTTAGTCAGTGACAGCTATATGCTCAAATCAGTTTGTGCTCTTGAAGTCCCTTTTAGTTTATGGTTTAATTATATGGAGAGATCTTAGCTATATATGAAGTTTTTACTGCATACTAATTGTTTGAACTTTGGAATCATGCTCATAATTATATATTGATATCCAATGCCAATGATTTCTTTCTTTTTTTTTTTTTTTTTTGGTCCAGTTTGCTCATAGGAAGTGTGTCCAGCGATGGTGCAATGAGAAAGGAGATATAATTTGTGAAATTTGTCATCAGGTAAATTTCTAGAATCCTTACCATCTGCAATTGTCATTTTTTTTATGATTTTTTAAGTAGAGAATTTGTTCCGTTCATACAAGTAAGCAACTTCACTTTGTTTGAAGCTATCTTAGTCATGCCTTTGTTTTCTGGAAAGCATGAAATTCAATGTTGTATTATGAGAAAGATATTTGGTTTTTATCAATAAATTATGATGATGCATCCGCGTAATATAGTAACATCATGTGACCATTTGCTGTTAGGTCATTTCAATTGGTTATTATGAATTTATTCCATTTGTGAATTGCAAGTCATTGAGTGGACTTTTACGAAAAGTTTCCTGATGTACAGCCATACCAACATGGTTATACTGCCCCACCACCTCCCCCTCAGTCTGAAGATACCACAATTGACATCAGGCAAGTTTAGATTTTACATATGCTTTACAAACTTGTTCATGTTGTTACTAAGGATTCTTTTCTCGTTTTATCTTTCAGTTTTTCAAATTAGCTTTGGCCAGATGTGATAAGGACTTTGCTTGTTTTTGTGTATTACTTTATCCCCACCCGTATCATTGCATTACCATTCTTCAGGTCAATACAACATACAGCTTTATCTATGACTCTTATCTGTTTTGATCTTTTGTTGTTTTGCTTCTTGGATCTGCCTGACAGTGATGGTTGGACAATCTCTGGTACTCCTTTGGATTTGCGTGATCCTCGACTATTAGCAATGGCAGCGGCTGAACGCCACATTCTAGAGGCCGAATATGATGAGTATGCTGACACAAATGCTAGTGGAGCAGCCTTTTGCCGCTCTGCTGCTCTAATTGTAAGCCATAGTTACCACCATTACGGATGTGTTGTTTTTCTGTAGTAGGGCATGTTGGAATGGCATACTGTCATCTCATTTTTGTTCTGATTTTAATTTATGGATCTTATCACACGATGAGGACAACCTAGCTGATGCTTTTGTCAGCTATAAAGAATAGGGTAGTGCTATCCACACAACCACTTTTACTTCCCACACACCCCTAAGAATGAATTGAAGAAGATCAATTGCCAAAACAAGGGTGTGTGAGAGGTAAAATGGGTGTGTGAATATCACTTTCCTGAAGAATATCCCTAATATTTAACTTTATATTTTACGTACAATTCTATTTTCTTAGTACACCTTTTCTCTCTAGTCATTCTGAACTGGTGTAACTAGTTGCAGGTTCTGTTCTAGGCCCTGCAACTTGTTGCTATGCGCATTCAAAGTTTAAACCTCAGCAACATGCTCTAATCTCAGTTGAATAAGAAAATTTAATCTAATTTCTATTGTTCTCCTGTATTGTTCCTTGGCAGTTAATGGCTCTTCTCCTCTTGAGGCATGCGTTGACCCTTCCCAACGGTGACGGGGATGATGATGATGCATCCACCTTTTTTTCTGTAAGTGCCATAATCATGTTGGATGTTTCTTATAACATTTCAGATTGTTTCACTATCTAACTAAATGATCAATTGTTAACAGCTTTTCTTGCTCCGGGCTGCTGGTTTTCTTCTCCCATGCTACATTATGGCTTGGGCCATCAGCATATTACAACGTCGAAGGCAAAGACAGGTTAGTTCTGGGCTCTGCTGTCTTGGAGAAACCCAAGAATAATCACTTTTTATATATCCTTGGTGATATGAGATATCATCTCTGAGATTGGTTACATAACGTCTCTGAGATTGGTTACATAATGAAGCTGAACAAGCTTTGGCATGCTTCTGACTGCACTAAAAGAAAGTAGGAATCATGTCCCAGACAACTTTTGTTTGCCATTTACCAGAAGCTTTCTGGTCGGCAGATGATTGTAAATGCAAATTTTAATATGTTCTTTTTAATTACACACTAATTTGTTCATATGCTACTGTTGATCCAGGAAGCAGCAGCACTTGCGGCAACTGAGGTTGCATTTATGCTGCAGGCAGGGCATCGCAGGGGCTTGCAGTTCACAATAGCTCCGGGACCTGCAGTGACTCCCCATCAGGAGCCAATTCAGTGATATGATGTCGTCAACTATGGCAATGTTCTACTTTGGTGAAGAGGATTGTGTTGGGACTCGAAATATGAGCGTGTTGTGTCTGTTTATGCTATTAGCATTAAAGAGGAAGATCAGAAGGCTTTAGCTTTCATACTGTCGTGTACCTGTAATCGAATTATTTTACATACTCTTCAAGCTCGTGTTTTGTACATAACCTTTGTTATCACCGCAGCAGTTCTGCTGCACGGTAAACTGCTGTCGAAAGAGCTGTATTTCTACTGATTGTAGTTGCAAACTAAAACATCTACTTTACATGCATCGTGTGTTAGTATCCTGTTCTTATGTAACCTAGTTTTATGTTTTCCGGTTTTGGAGTCGCGCACTAAACCAGACTGTGCCAACGGCTGGTTCGCTTTGCTCTCAGGCACTCCTGAGTGTGGAAAGCGCTAGTTGAAGCCAATCTAGTTGGAATATGATGATTTGGGATTTCAAGTTTTTAGGTGCATCACACACCAATGCTTTCTTGAAGTCTGATTGTTCAAGAAAACCCTATCATCTTGTGTTGTAGTTGTTAAAGTTAAATGTGATGGTGAAGGATGATTTTAGAAAGCAAACGTTCCATTCAAATTCTTTTGCTTTAATACAGCTCTCAAAGCACACGTCCAGCTTGGACCATGACCAGTCCACCTCCTCATCGATTTTGTTTCTTTTCGTTTCTATTTCAAAACGATATTCTAAACTCTTCAAATCTACGAGAAAAGAAATTCAAACTCATGTTCAAAGGGTTGAGACCTCTACTCTAATTAACTGATCTGACTCACGTTTACAACCAGAAGGAAAAAAAAGGACAATGGTCTTTGTGGGTAAGCGAGATATATATAAAGAAGAAAAAGAAAGGAGATGGGGAGGCCATATATGCAAGAACAAAATGTATTTCTTTGAAAGTTTGAATTAGGGTTTTAAGGGCTAAGCAATTTAAAGAGAGGGGAAAGAAAAGCATAAAGGAATTCCATTCAGCACAAGAAACAAAGACTGGGATTTTTTGGTGTATGGAGGAAAGAGCTTGGAATTCTAAAGCTAGTTGTTAACTTAAAGCAAGTTAAGCTGCATAAAGCTTTGCTGTTGGTTGGTTGGTTTGGTTATTTGGAGTGTTTTTTTTGGTGGGAGGGATTTCTATTCCCCACCATTACTCCTACATCTCTACTTTTGATGGCTTTTTTGGCCGCGTTTGTTATCTAAATATGGAACTGGCTGCTGCAACCAAAATGGTTGAGGTGCGTTAAGAGATTTTTTGGGCAGGGTGGGATCTAGGATTGAATGAGACCAAAGTACGATAGAAATTTCGGTGTTGTTTCATTAGAGTATTTTTTACACTGGGTGGATCAACTTGGATCAGGTGGGACCATTCTATACTTTTGCAAGAGGTGTTTTACAGATGACGTGATTATGTGTCCTTACCCAAGTTTTTCTCTTGAAATATAGGGAATTTGTTCTTTTTGTGATGTTGATCGAACCATCTGCTTGATTAGGCGGCCTGACTGAAGATTTTCAAGCGATGAGGAGCTCGTAAGAACTCTACACGTCAGCATGGCCAGATGAGGTGGCATGTTGGAAAAGCATTCAAGATACACAAAACTGGTCTTTGTTTGGTAAAAAAAGAGGTAGGGAAGTGATAGAGAGAAAGATACTTGGCTTCCCAAGGGTAGTGTTCCAACTTAACTTTTGATTCAAACCTGTCAGAGTCTTCTAAAACAGCCTTATATATTGCTTCTGTGGCAGGCTGCTTATGATTAAGGTGAATCTAAATCTTCCCTACATATTCTGCCTGCCCTTCTTCTGAGGGGCCTCCCTTTGTGCTTTATGCCTTTAGAGTCCTCCAAATCCCATAAAAGACATTCCCTTGGCTTGTTCTCACAGGGAATGAAACCATAACAAACACTAGCACTCAATCTCTTATCCAAACACAGATAGCTTCAAAAGCATGGGGTTTTTAGCTTACAGAAGGGCTCTTCTTCTTCTTGTTTGCATTGGGTTTCTAGCCCTTCAACCCGAAAAGGTTTCCGGCTTAAGAAACAGAGATTTGGCTCTGAGATGGGACAAAGGGCACTTGCCATTTCTTAAAAGCTTGCATCTTTTTAAGGCTGTTGCTGTAGAGGATTTGGAAGCTAAGATGACTTTGGCACCTGCACCTTCGATGACATTCGATGCGAATCAGTCAAACAAAAGAAAAGTTCGAAGAGGATCCGACCCCATTCACAACAGAAGTTGACAGGATGCTGATGCACTTAGCTATGGGGAGAAGAAGCTGGCAACAGAGTATTTTCACGCAGAAGAAGCCCGTATGGCGGTAACTAATACAGAAAGGTTCAACGGGGTGGCGGGCATCCAATTTGGTTAGAATTATATGTTTTCGTTTGTTTTTTAGTCGAAAGTTTTTTTGTTGAGCTGAAGAACTGCAGCTTAAACCCGATCATCGAGCTAGCATCATCTGTATTGTATAAACCTAGGTCCTAACTAATAGCTGAATACTTTGAGAAAATGATGATGCTGGCTCTCACAGATTAGATGCATTTCTGATTTTTCTCTATAAAAGCTACGGACTTCTATGATTCTGTGTTGTGAATAGTTTTGCATTTTCTGTCTAGTTTCATCAAAACAGTCAAAATTTCACGAATAGTAGCCGTGACGATAGAACTAATTCTTCGTTGAAAAATTAAAAAACGAAATAATTGGATTGAAAATTATTACGTAAACTACAACTACAATCAGTACCGATGGCACAAATATATACTGTCTAAAACAAAATCCTTACATGTCTCAAGTTCTCAACTTAGTCTGTGCCTCTCTTGTACTCCACCTTTAGCGAACTTGTGATGTTTCCGCGATGTGGTCAAGAGATCTTAGTGACTAAACATTTCAAACTCTTTCATACGGGCGAGTGTCATTCGCTCTTATATCAGATGTTGACCTGTCATATCTCTTCTTCCTGTGAAATTTAAATTGTATAGAGGTTTCCTTATGAGCAACTGCCTGCCATATCATATCAACGGCATCACCAGGCTGGGATGGATACTGATATTCAAAATGATGTACAACTTCCTTCAACCTTTCCCACATCTTGGTCCACGTTTCTTGCTTGATTCCTCGCAGAAGATTCAGTAGGTAACCCTTCTTAATAGCGTCAGATGAGTGAACAAATATGCAAAACTGTGAGTAGTCTAAGAAATCTTCAAATGGTAGCTCAATCTCATCACTAATTATCACAGGAACACACTGGCTGGCGATGGCATCAAATAGGCGATTTGAGGAAGGGGTATCACCAGCAAGATTCAGGCAAAACTTTGATGAGGCCATTCCTTGGCTTGCCTTGTTAATACCATTCCCTCGAACGCTACCAAAAGTGAAGTATACATCTTTCTCGTCTTTAAGAAGATAATACAATTCCTGTCGAACTTTTCCTCCCTAGTTTAGTACAGTAAAGAGAACCACAAGTAAGATATTATCGACAATTATAAAACTGATTATTACTAAAATAATCTAGTGCACAATGTAAAGGAAGCAGGGAAGCACCACAAAAGACCAGCTTTTTGGTAACAAAGCACCAGCAACAACGATAAAAGTGCATCAGAAACCAGAATAAATCAAAGTAGGATTATGAAATAGATCACGTTGATCACGATTCACGATACAAACACTTTGTCTGGAATTAAGATGCATTGACATACTATATCAAGTTAGCAATCAGTTCTGGAGTGCCCTGCATTGAGGACTGGTTTATGCACTAAAATTCCATTAGTATTAAAACGAATTGTTTGCTCCTCTATTTCAACTTGGCACAGAAGACTGAAAATATAAAGCTAATGAAACAGCCCTTTTTAAAAAATTCCTAATTTCCAGGCAATTCATTCAGAGATCAAATTTGGAGTAACATAAGCTAATTGAATCAAATTTCATCATGTATTTAGCACCATTATCAACCCATTCAAAACAAATATAATGTAAAAGACTGTATGAGAAGATGTAAGTGAAGGAAAAACATACATCTTTCCTGTATATTGCTCCTCGGAAGTATAATAGTATAGGACGCTCATTGAATGAGGCTGATTTGCTGCTCTGAATGGTCATCACCAAATGTCTGTAAGGAGCAATTATGTCCTTCTCAATATTTGCTATTTCAGCAGGGTATCTTCCAAAATCCGCAAGCACAAACATTGCAGAGCCTAATTTCTTTCTTGCATCTAACATGCTATTGGGATGGTGAGCAACTATTAAATGATCCTTCCCACCCTTTCTTTTCCATTCCTCCCGACCCATCAAATACTGCACCAACTCTTCCTGCAACTTCTTGTTCACACTTACTTTCTCCTTTCCACGAAGCTTAGAATGCCTGTTGTAACTCAGAGATGCGAAGAACGGCACAAAAATAACATCTGCTTGGCTTGAATTGTGCACCCTGACTACTGTGCATGGTCTGACCACAGTCGGAAGACTTGATGATAGAAGATCAAGGGTAAGCCAGTATTCGATACTGTGCTGTAAATTCAGGCCACCTGGGTAAGCTGGAATAGAACTTGGGTTTTTGACATTTGGCCAAGTTTGATTCTCCTTACCCTTCCAAGCTAATAACCCAAAGTGAAACTCCGGAGGCAACTCATACATAAACACCCTCAAGAGAGCCTGAGTTGAGTCACAAGCAATCGTTTTCTTTTTTCCTAAAGATTCCAACTTCTTGCTTGAATTGGAGTCTTCACATCCCAATTCACTTATTTTTGTGGATATTCCAGCATCAACCAGGGGAACCTCAGAGGGGAGGAAAAGAAGGTTTTTCTGCCTACTTTTCAAAAGGGGCTCAAAGTACACCGACGTGCCATTGAGAAGAATAAGCTTAAACACTGAACTCGGTGTAAAGGAAGTATTGCTAAACTGAAGTAGGAAGACAGAAGAAGAGATTAAAAGGAACAATGAAATCGTTATCAAGTAGAAAAGAAACTTCGATGGAAGCCTACTCTTTTCCGACATTGATGAAATTTCCGGCAACTAAAACTCTACTAAATTTTGCAAATTGAACAAGATAGCATCTGCAATTACACAAAATAAGGAATGCAATCAATGCTACTCTTCTAAAAACCAATGCCTTTCAGCTCAGATCCTTAACACAGCAGCTCGATTGCCACTCGCTAAAATCTCTAAGAACAGCAACATCAAGATTCAATTCAAGGAAAATAAATCTCTATATTCTGTGAACTTACTACACATAAAACCTTGAATTTCTCGAAAACCATAATCTCTCTCTTAAAATCAAAGCCAGAGCAACTGAGAATGTGATAAATCTGCACACACAGTGAATAAATACTTAATTATACTTAATTATTTGGATTCTTAAGCAATTTATCTACATGAAAAATTGCAGCAGAAAAACATGACAGGATTCAAATTTATAAAATCTCTCAACTGGGTTTTTACAGAAACATGATTTCACGAAAAGGGTCGATTACATAAAGAAAAAAGATTGTTACCTGATGAACTGGGGTTCTGAAACTCCACAGCAAGCAGATATATATTTTCAGACTTCTGCAAAAGGGGCGAAGCTTGGAGGAGGAAGCTAAAACACGGAGAGGGACCTTTGAACAAAGTCCATGAGTATGTAATTATTATTTCTTAACCTTTCTTGTAAGCTATGGCATTTGATAAATCAAGAAAATAATACTTTTATATTAATCTTTTTGGTTGTTCATGAGTCCATGACATGGAGAACAGAAAGCTCATGACTTTATCAAACCTTTATTCTCGTGGGAATTGATTTATGAGTTTTGCTATGGTGTGCTCGTCCTCGTGGCTATTAATAAAGGATTTCATATTACGACGAGAAATTTAACATTATGTTTGGACGAAGAAATTTAAGATTATTAAAAAATTTTAAAATGACGGCAATTGAAATGACATGATTTTATTTTTTAGAATTTGTGAATTTTCTTGTTTGGTTAACCTAAAAGAATAATATAATTGAATACCGAATTTGTCATTTTTAAACTTTTAATCATAGAAATTGAGAAATGACAACTATTTATATGGAATTTAAACTTGGGAATTGGAGGTCCCAAATTCCAAGTTTTTTTTTCCATGTGAAAATTCTAAATTTCTATGTTTATGAACCCAAACAAGAGAATTAGTGCATGTCAATTTATAAATTCTTACTTTTATCCAAATTCTAAGTTTATTTCCTTCGTTCAAACATAGTGTAAATGAAATAAGTTCACTTCTGCTATGAACAGTAAAAGAAATAATATTGTATTATAAGCATTGTTATTAGCATTTTATTTTACTTTTTTTTCTTATAAGTGTATTTTTTTTAAATATAAAAAATTTAAAATGCAAAATAAAAATCTAAATTTTGAAGTATCTAGAAAAATAAAATTGCAAAAAAGTGCCCTTTGTTTAAGACATTGCGAAAAATATGCTTCAAATTTCTTGTGATGGCGTGTTAAATTCCTGACCGACAGAAATAAATTATTATCATTTCGTTTAGTTGGTTGCCTAATAAAGTAGTTTAAGTTGGATTTGCTACCAAATTTAACGGATACAATTGGAGAGATCAAGCCTTTCTATGGCTTATTTCAGAAATTGACACCTGTCCATCACTTATTCTATTTTTTTTTAGTATATTGGTATTTTTACGTTAGAAGAAGGAAGAGTTCGGTTAAGCCACACAATGAGCAACTTAATTTAACATTAAATTCACCATTCACGAGATTCGAACCTAGACCTATATATCACTAGATTATAATATTGAGCGACACTTATTCTACTTTTAACTAGTGTTAATTAACTAAAAAATAGGGAAAAAAATGAAACGTGAAAACCCAAACCACCATGACGCACTGCAATCATCCATCTCCTTCTCCTCCTGTCTCTCTCACCATTCCAATGCCCGAATCAAAAACAAAAAACTCGCCCTTGTTGTAGACGAATGATAGAGAAATTCGAACATGGAGAACCCATCATAGAAAATTACTAAAAGATGTTGAGACAGAACTGTAAGAGTACGTTGGAGAAGAGAGAGCTTCTATAGTGGGTACATTGCACATTGTCAAAACTACAAATGAGTCATTCTCGTCGTCCAAATGCAAATTGAGGTCTAAGACGAAAATACAATAGGGTATGAAAATGAAAAATGTGAGATATGGTTCAAAGCGAGGCTCAAAGAATATTTCTTGTTCGCCCTTCTTTCTGGCCAATTATGTCACTAAAGAGTAGGGAAAATATATTGTCATTGAGAAATGATCTTACCATTTAATGTTGTGCTATCCATACACCTATTTTTACCTCTTAAACACTCCTTTCAATTTTCGGCTGCCAAATCAAATAAATTGAAGAAGATTAGTGGACAAAAATTAGCATGAGTGTGTGGAAGATAAAAAAAAATATGCGTAAATAGCAGTACCCTACCATTTATTGAGTTCATAAGTATTTTTTTGTAAAAAAGACGAGTGTTTAATTTTTGTAAGATTTTTTGTGTACAGACAATAAAAAAAATGTTGAAAATCTTTAGAAGCGGTTTTATCATTTATCGAATAATCTTTTGTTTTTTTTTTTTCAATGTTAAAATCATCATAGATGTGAATAAAACCATCTCCCACTAATCGAAGATCGAAATGGTGAAAGGAGGAAATTGACCAATGGCAAAAGGTAGGATTGATTCCATGCAATTTACGTTACAAAAACTTTTCAGTTTGAGGAGAGATTTCTCAGTGTGACCGTCACACGAGATGGTACATCACATGTCCTTATATAAATAGTGGGTTATGTGTGTTAAAAAATTAATGACTTAAAAATTAAAATTTTTCACTACTTACATAAAAACAAGTCGTGTACCATCTGTATTTCCGTCACAACTAAAAATTTCTCTAATTTGAGAAGGAAAGTCTTGGGATTAGCCAAACTTCAACTCTTGAACAACCCACTCAAAGACTTTGAAAGTCGCAATAACATAGCCAATTACTTATTTAGTAGGTAGTCTTCCATTGAAAAAAAATCGTAGGAATCGAGAATCTTGACGAGGCAGTGTAATTATACCATACTAGCTTCTCTGTACACATGAGTGCATTCAAGCCGTCTTTCTTAATCACACTTGTCGTTTGCAATTTGTAAATTTTTAATCATTGATGCTTGGCGCGACTTACAAATTTTTATTTTACTTGTCAAGCGACTTTTGACCATGGATTGCATTACAAATCGGCAGTTGTGGCAGAGAAGAAGATGGAATAATATCATTTGATTAACATAATAAAACCAAATTCTATGTCAACGCTCACATTTGGAGAGGATGTTTAATGACTCATATCCCAAAGAAGCATTAACGAGGGTTGGTTGAGTTAGTAAAGATGTTCTGTTTCGTTAGATCAAGGACTAGTCGAGTCTCACTGTTTGCAACTCCTCTCGGTGAGTGACATGTAAAAACCTGTAAGTCCTCAAAAAAGCTTGTGGTATACTCTGATCCTGAAATAGAATAACCTCCCCTCCTTCCAAACTTTTTTTCGTGAAAAATAATACTTATCTAATTGGGTACTTAGTTAATATTTGATTATTTTGGTAAAACTTGATTAAGCAAAAGTGTTGATCTAGGGCATTTTGGTCCTTCTAGCTGGGTCTTCCAGTTGTTGTAGCAAGGGCACACAGCTTTGTTGCCGTGGAAGCCGGGAGGAACACAGAGGCACTTAGCACAGCATTTTTGGCAGAAGAACATGCATGGCTTGTGGTATTGGGTATGGCTACATCTCCCGGTGCATTGTGACGAGTATTCTTGTAATTTCGTGAAAAAATTGTTCGTATCTCAATGTACTATTAATAAACTACTGTACTTTATGAAAAAAGAGATTCAAGATAAAACGATAATATTTTTAGAATGTTACTTACGATAGCTCTTGAGACTTCCATGATCATATCATCCCTGAAAAAAGTGGGAAAAATACAACTTTTTATTAGAAAATGCCAATTTTAGCGATAATGCAGGTAGCCGGAGATATCAAACTATTATCTTACTTTTTCTTCGCTAGGCTTGTGAATTGCTTAATATTCTCGTTTTCTCCTTAGAGATGATTTCCATGCATATAGTTTCATTTTTCGGAATTAAATAGATTTGTTAGATATATTTAATTGGACTTCAAATTGAATGAAATTTTTTAAAAATAATCTTTTGCTGATAAAAAATATAAACAATTCTAATTATTCGCATTATACATCAAAATGCTATCACGTTAGAGCAACTCCAGCGTTGGAGCCCTCCCCCCTGACAATACACTATTCAATCCACCTAATGAACAGTAATTGCCCTTAATGAACAGTAAGTAGCCCTGGCAATAGATTTTGCATCTCCACCGTTACACTTCTATAGACCTGGCAATAGGCAATAAAATATTAGTATTTTTTTTATTTATAAAATTAATACAAAATAATTTTAATTGTAATATCGGATAAGATTTTTAATCGTTCTCGTTGCGCCACGTGTCATTATCCGAAGTATTATTAAATAATACAAAATAATACAAAATAATACAATTATTGGTGATGGATTTCTGATAAGATTATTAACCAATCACGTCGCGCCACGTGTCATAATCGGTTCACAATCTTTGAGGATAGATTTCCATCAGATTTTAAACGAATGACGGCATGCCACGTGTCATAATCTGTTAACAATCTTTGATGATAGATTTCCATCAGATTTTTAACGAATGACGGCATGCCACGTGGCATTATGCAGAACCTAATCCTTTCTGAATCCTCTATATAATCCACCATCCATCTTCACAAATCTCACACCAAAATTCTCAAGATCTCTATCATTATTCATACTTTCTGCTTCCTTATTCACAAAAATCAGTATCAATATTCATAGTTTCTGTTTCTTTCTTTCAATGTCTTCTTCTTCTTCCTCAAGGATGATGTGGGAATTGAATCAGGAAGAGGAAGACTTGTTTAACCAATCAGAATCAATGTTCAATCACCAGGGGATAAGAAATGAGAGGGAAGAAGATGAGGAGCGTCAAATGAGAGATGACGAAGTAAGAAGGGGCAGAGCCTCACATTCCCGCCGAGTCATCCAAGCTGCGGCTCAGATCTGCAGGCCCAGACGTTCCGGAAACCTTGATAGAAGCAGGCAACGACGAGGTATGGAACTCTTGGATGATTATTTTGTTCCTAATAGTGCATTCCCTGATACGTACTTTAGACGTCGTTTTAGAATGGAACGACATTTGTTCAACAAAATCATGATTGCTGTTTGCAACCATAATTCTTATTTTGTGCAAAAAAAATATGCTTTTGGTGCTATGGGTCTACTGCCGGATCAAAAAATTACTGCTGCCTTGTGGATGCTTGCATATGAAGCATCTGCAGACCAAGTGGATGAGATAACGAGGATGGGGTAATCAACCATTCTTGAGTCCCTGATGAGGTTTTGCGGAGCAATCGAATCTATCTACACCGCTGAGTACCTCTGCAAACCCACACACATGAACTTGGAGCGGCTGTTGAAGAAGGCGGAGATGCGTGGCTTTCCTGGGATGATTGGAAGCATTGATTGTATGCACTGGACGTGGAAAAACTGTCCAAGTGCATGGCAAGGCGCTTACGGGGACAGAAAATGGGCAAAAAGTATCATTCTGGAGGCGGTGGCATCTTTTGATACATGGATTTGGCACGCCTTTTTCGGGGTCCCGGGAGCTCAAAATGACATCAACGTCCTTGCCCAATCCCCAGTGTTCAACGATGTCCTGCAAGGAAAGGCACCAAAAGTTACAT